GGGGGTTCAAAAGAACCTTCCCTTTTTGCTGGAAAAAGGTCCACTCTGGGTAAAATTTGACCTAGGTACATGGGGATTATATGGTAAAAGGTCCACTTTTTCAGAAAAAGAACCCCCCTTTGAAATTGCTGGCTACGGGCCTGATACAAGTACATGCACGCATAAAATTGTTATGTACGCTCAAGGATATTCTTTGTTGATGTTGCAACTTTGTTCATGTCCCTACAGGCAAGATTTAGAATGGTAAATCGAAAATACTTTTAGAAATAAAACAGACACGTTTAGGACTTTTTATGGAAATTTATTTTCACCGCCACATGCAGCACGTACCATACATAACCTTTGCTTGACAAATTGACAATATTTAATTATTTACACTGCTGCTACTGTCAACTAATGAAATATTTCTCTACACTCACATCTGCAGCATATGTACACGTTACCCACTTACATCTGTACTCTATTGCACTTGACACAATAAGGAACATTTCAGTCTAACAATGAAATGGACACGTTCAATATTAATTAAATAAGCTTTACGGGTGCATTGTAGGGAACCTGAATTGATATCCACAGACACTGTTACAGGGCAGGTAATTTTTCTAACTGATGCCATTCTGCATGAAGTTATTCCCAACCCAAACCAGGTTAGAAGATGAAGGTGTAATGGACAGTACAAATCAGTAGTTGATTTGTAAATAGCAGCAGAAGCTCCCGTCAAGCAAAATGTAACATCACCTCTTGAAAATGTACAAAAGTTAGCATGGTGTACCAAGACTCTTCATATTCTCAAAAAGATTTCAGCTGGGATTATTAGACAAGGTGCACTTCCAAAAAGTCCCATGAAATTCTGAGCATTTACACACAACTAAACTTTAATAAGTTCTTCAACAATTCTTGAAATGAATTAGAGATTTATTAATATGATATATTAGTAACTGGAATGGTCTTTTGAAAGAGGCAATACTTACTGGCATGGGAAAATTGGTGGTCCATAAAAAACGACCAATTTTACTTTCCATCTATATTCAAAATAGGTTATTGTTCATGGACCACCCTATAGTTTAAATTCACACATTTACAGCTGTACATTCAACTGAATTCACATAATCAAGTTATACAGAGTACTAAGTAAAGTGCAGTATGTAACATAACAGCTAATCTAGAATGTTTGAAAATGACATGTTGACTTTTTATACTGTGCATTGTCTATCAGACCTACTAAACTGTACCAGCAGACAAACAAATAGCTAATAATTTACAGTCTTCTAGTAATTCTATGCATCAACAACATTGTTTCTGTCCTCACTGGACAACAAATTCCCTTTTGAATAATTTACAGTTCTACATAAACCAACTGTTCTATTCTCTCAGGTAAACTAACAAAACATACAAGAGCTATCAGCAATATCTGACTACTCTGAAACATTCACAGTGATTCCTTTTCCCTTGGGGTCATCGAACCTGTCCATGGTCTTAATGTTCACCATCATGCTGATCCCCCAGGTGAGAATGAGTAGAAGGATCAGAGTGACCATGAGTCCAGATAAAGTTCCTATGGTGAAGAAGCCGACACAGTCGCTGGCATCTAAAAACTTATCGCTGGACCCAAATGGTTGGATCTAAAAAGAAAACCATTCAACGTGTTTTACCCTCCTTAATGAAAGCTTATTATAATTATAATTATTATTATTATTATTATTATTAATATTAATATTAAGTAATTTAGATAAAAGAAACAGGGAAAAACAGGACCCTATGGTGTAATCTAGCCCCACCTTCATTAATTTTCATATGGCTAAATAGGATTCTGCCATGGTCATACTTATCCAACCCTTTCTTGCGGTATGATTTGTTTTCCTAGCTATTTTGACCAATTTAGTCCATTTTAACATATTGATCCACCTTAAGCCAAGTAGACCATTTTCTTCTTTTGTGCCAATATTCAAAATATGATTATTTTATTTTATATCTCCAACTTTCCTAATTCATTTCCAATTCAATTTAATATTTTCCACTCAACAATACTGAAGGAACCTGCACCTGCTGAAATCACTTGACAGGCACTGCTGGTAAAGGTGATCTAAAAATCTACTGAAACTTACCTGTAAGTTATCAAAGCGAACATCAAGGGCAAGCTCAAAAATGTTTCCTTTGTACTCAGTCAGATTGGCCTGGGTGTAGTTAGTGGAGTACTTTGAACTGCAGGAATAAGAATATCTGGTGTCCTGTAGATTACTTGGCACGGACAAAACCGTCGGGTCATCCTCCGTTATGTTCATGCTGAGGGTGCCGTTTTTGATCTTGTAGGTCAGCTGTAGAGCACTTATGTTCCACACATTTCTTGCTGTATTGGCAAAAAATTTGAACCTACAAAACAAGATTAAACATATGGTTTCATCTCAACCTATGGTGAATGTTCCATGGCATCGGCGTCAAATTTTTAACCACTGCGCAAATGACTGACAAGTCTAGATTGTCCAGCAAATTCCTATCAGAATCTATCTTTGTGCTGGGACCTTGCTGCAATGTTTAATATTTCTACAATTTAGTTTACAATACATCATCCTTTGAGCATAAAAACCCGCTCTCTGTAATAAACTTCATTTTGTTCATTTCACTTAAAGTATTCATATTTTGTAACTCATTAAATCATTCTTTTTTTTTTTTTGGTATTGTTTTTAAATAACACTTCACAAACTGACTTACTTAATAGTCAAATTTGTCATGGTGTAATCATCAATAGTAATCTCCCCTGGATAAGTCAATCCAATAACTCTGAAACATTGACAGTAATTATCTTCAGCACTTTTCTGCACATTTATAACAGTAATGGTTAAAAATTCATAAAAAAATTAAAACATTTTGCAGTTTAAAAAATTTCGCGTCAGTATGTACTGACTTTGACAGGGAACGTTTTTTTTTTATAAAACAAAGGTAGTCAGTAAACTGAGGTGAAATGAAAATATGGTATGGCAATTACAGGGGCAGATGTTTTGGATGGTGACAGCAACAGCAACAATATGAGAAAACACAGTGACCTGAATATATACAGACAAATACAGCGTCTGTATATAAAAATCATTTACTTACGATGAGTTCACGGATGCTGACATATTCAAACAACTGGTATCATCAGTAAAAGTCGGGTTGGGTGGCAACATGTCAGAAGTATTGACGAACGTCTTGATGTCTTTCTCCACAGTTTTATCCATGATGGAACTAACTGTGAAGAGGGAGATGTAGACCCCCGTGGTGTAGAACAATGAGCAGTTGTTGAAGTTAAGGTATGTTGAAGTGTTTTCATTTGTGGCCAAAAGATGGCGCCCCAGGTGTGGATAGGAGACTGGAATCTGAAAATGAGAGACTTCCATGCTTAAATCATAAACTGTAGAATCATTATGTTTGAGTATTTTGGGTGAGATCTACAGGAACTTTTTAGGCATTTTTATTTCTTCCCACAATTTTAAAGGAGTACTTTTTTCTTTGATGTTACCTTAGATGTTTCTTCAGCCGTGAAATATGCTGTAAAAGGCACACCAGAATGTTTTGCTTTAGATGTCAAAGCACCAATCAGATCATCTGAAAAATATATAGGTGAAATATAAGATGGGCTTGGGACAAAACTGTTGTAAGAGAATTTATCAATGGCTCTAAGAACAAAACATCTCCTTTCTCATAGTTTTATTCTGGATATGACTCTCAAACAAATACATGGAAACAACATTAAAACAATAACCAACTAGGAAGGATTTATTCCAACCATTTACATTCATTTTCAAACAAAGTCTCACCATTCTTTCTGAACTGCTTCAACTTCTCCCCTTCTTCTAAAGTCACATCTGGCAAGTGGACGATAACCAAACCGGGCTTCTCAAAACTCAAAGAGTCAACCTCGTGAGGAGCTGTCACTTCTTGCACGCTGTCCACATACTTCTTTTTCAGTTGCTTTATGGCAGCGACTGGGCTTTCTACAGAAGACAAGTGGGTGGATGTGTGGCTCTCCATTTGTTCCTACAACAACATGGAGATACTGTAATTTCTTTTAAAATTCTTATCAGGGGTGGATGGAAGCCATCCTCTGTATTACGAAAGACGGTCAGAATTTTTCAAGTTAACTGTGACAGGCATCTCATTTTTTTCTGTTAAAAGACTGTCTAAAATGGAGGGTGGATCAACAGAGATAATAATTTTGGAAGACTGTCACAAAATATCTCTGGATCCTTCCCTGCTAATGCTTTACTTTTTTTAATAAAATCCTTTGAAATACTGTAGAAATGATGGCCTTTCTACTGAAGACATATTGATGTATGGCTGTCCACTTGTTCCTACAACCACAACATGGAGACATTATTGTAATGACTTTGAAAATTCTTGTTTTAATTTTTTCTAATAAATTTGGTTGGAATTCCAAAGAAATAATAATGTCTTAAGATACCTTTTTTAATATCAGGGCTAACATTTGTTCTTATATATTGAGGTAGCTGGTTCCATAGCATGGGGGCTGATATGGAAAATGCCCCTTGTCCATAGGTTTTTTTTTCTTGCATAACATTATAGCTGACATAATACTTTCTGGGATGAAACCAACCATTTTTTTTTTTACTCTTAATCAACATTTAAAGTAATATATAATAACAAAACATTTAAGGAGGGGGCAGGGGGGGAAGAACCAATTTTGTTCAAATGTTGATTTATTACCATGGTTGAAAGTTGGCATATCAAAACATAATGCTCTGAATTTGTCATCAGTACTGTCAAACACAATGAGATTGCAGATAAGATGTTACCAAACAGGATAATACACAATGCTGCCTATACCATGTATATACACAGAGTGAACAGTATACTGTATATATTAGTGACAAACTTACTAACAAATCAAGTCACTGGTTTAACAGAATGAAAATGCAGACATAAAAAGGCAGGAAAAGGGTGCTTAATTTCCCAATGGCTTTTTAAGCCCAGGTCCAACAGCATGATCATTTTACAGATTTTTTTTCTATCTGATTCAGTAATGTTACTGTTGTACAAGAAAACTGACCCAAAACCCTTATTCAGCCATTTGTGTAGTACTAAACCAAAGCAAACAGTATCCACAAGTTGACCACAACACATTACCTTGATATTGTGAAGAGCTGCTCCATCTTCACTGTCACTGTATGCATTGCTGTACTGAGTGAAATCTTCAACACTCAGCTGAAAAAAAGGAGACAATAAGAAATTGCAAAAAACTGAAACATTACTTTTTTTAAAGAAAAATAGGTCTTAATTTATTATTTCTGTAATTTATAATTAAAATACAGACTTTTCTCTCTTCTTTCTGAAGGCTTACAGCATAAACCATATTATCAGAATTGTCATGTGTCTTCTCCATTTCATGATTATTTTTGTATTCTTTTTTAAGCCATATAGCAAGCAATAAACAAGAACTCTTAACCTACATCAACTGGTAAATAAACAACAACACTTACCCTATCTTGCACAAAGACTAATACATGCTGTGCTTTGTTTGATAATAATTTATCAATATAAATATTCTGAAAATCAGGAGTGCTAATACTATGACCATCTAAAGAGGGAGGCAGGTCTTCGGGCAATCTGGAATATAAAACATGGTAAATAAAATATCTGGGTATCTATTAAAGATATCCACAAAAAAGGATTCTACTTACAGTAATGCAACTCTCTCACTCTGAGACCGAATTTCTTGAACCAATGTGTATGTTTTCAACTAACATCAACAAGAGTGTCATAGACTGGGTTCCCATACTTAGATCAATCCAACTGGATCGACCTAACTCCCTGGGGGTTCACGCTAAATTGCTGTCAGCTCAAGAGGCTTAAATGTCTGTCACGCCTACCGAATCAGCTAGGGCTGAAGATAATTACCCCCTAACAGCTTTACTCGGCATGACAGACGCTTAAGCCGGTTAGTTTGATAGCAATTTAGTGAGACTCCTCAGGGAGATAGATTGATCCAAATATCTGTGGGAATGGTCTCATAGACTCTGGGTGTTGTCATGATTATTATATTTGAATGTTGTGAGACAATGGGATATCATAATTAAGTGGCTTATTGCCCATATTTTTTCACTTGAATCATAAGACAAAAAGATACTCAATCTCTCAAACACATTATCAATTTGAGTGAAATTCAGTGTTGAATTTCAGACATTGGGCAGGACTTTTTATCCAAAGTAAAACCTCAACTGTTTTGGTTTATTTATTCTTTTTTTTCTTTATGATTTGTTTCAATATCTAAATATATATACAGAGAGGATTTGCGAGTAAGAAGATATCACAAAAGCGTCAGCTCTATAACTGTTGAAGATTTTCATTGCTGACGATCAATAATATGATGAGCACAAGCCGTCTCGTGACTACAGTCTACAGAAATGATCACTTTCTAAATTACGCTAAAAATCCTACAGATTGCTCTCAGGTATGACAAGCATACTTACAGGCTGTTTGACCATATTAAAACTGGAACTTTGCTCACTGCATCAGAAAATCCTAATGTTAAAGAAAAAACTGAGAAAAACGCTAGCCGCTGTAAAGAAATCATCTTGGAGGTCAGAATCATGTGACAACCGGAAGCCGCGTCTAATCTCGCAAGGTGCGAGATGTTACCCACGTGACCGGTCTCTTCGACCATCATACTCCGCCATCATGGGTGAGTTTCCACACGTGTTGAAGGAATATCTCTAATATCTCCTTCTAAAACAAAATAGACCCTCAAAATATACTCCTAATAAAGCCTAGAGTACTTATGGATTTAGTTTTATGTGTACTCGTTGCAATCTGAACGGTATTTTAATAAAAACTTCTTAATGTATCTGGTACGGTAAAGTATTTATAACTACAAGATCGACAAAACAACGTAAAACAAATGCTTTTCTCTCTCCCTGATGTCTACTTGGAGTATTTCTTTACAGACAGCAAAATGAAATAGTCTTTGTTTAACGCTTCTGCATTATTAAATACGTCGTTCTAAAATATTTATATAGCAATGTACACTTGAGGCATATGAAAGAAATTGTCAGGTAGTTGAAATATTGGGATTTTTGGAATTTTCGCAGGTAAACCCAGGGGATTGAGGACGGCACGTAAAATGCGCGACCATCGTCGCGACCAGAGATGGCACGACAAAGATTACAAGAAAGCTCACTTGGGTACAAGGTGGAAGGCCAACCCTTTCGGTGGAGCCTCTCATGCAAAAGGCATTGTGCTTGAAAAAGTGTAAGTATGAGGCATATATAGTTACAATCTGGCCTGTCTGAAGACAGTTCTCAAGTAAAATAGTATAATTTATAGTTGTACTGGTACACAGGTTATAGCAATTAATAATGCTACAGGACCCCTTTTCACAAGTAATTAAGTTTACTTTTACTGTAAGTAATTGATAAGTTATGTCGCAAGTTATCATGATTAAGTCGTCCGAGTGCACCATACAAAATATATATAAACCACTCATATTTATAACATCATACACAACTTAGCAAATCACAGTCGCACGTTTACTTGCTGTCTGCTTTTTTGTCTTAAAACGAGGACAGAATTGCACCAGCACCTCAGCTTCAACTTTAGTGCTGAAACTTCCAACTTGCTCTCAAGATTATTAGTTCAAGACATAATATCACATGGCAAACATAAAGATATTGTTTTTGATTGATGCATTTTTTATTGCAGTGGAGTAGAAGCTAAACAGCCCAACTCTGCCATCAGGAAGTGTGTGAGAGTGCAGCTGATTAAAAATGGCAAGAAGATCACAGCCTTCGTGCCCAATGATGGTTGCCTTAACTACATTGAGGTAACTACAGACATGGTTCAAGAGACAAAGCAAAATTGTGAAGTCATGAGTGAATAGAAATCTCACCCACTAATTGAGTCTGGTTTAGGTGAACTCTGTGGAATAATGATACTTAATGGGTGAAGTTGGAGAATGAAAGGAGTAGATTCAAGGGGATTGTGTTAACTTTTCCTAATAGTAATTTGGTAATGATTGTGAAGTGAGATGTGTATTTAAGAAGTTTTTGTCACCCACAATATCACTAAAACCAAAAGGCATTTGCTGCATACTGTTCAGTTTGTAAGCCTGTCTTTTATAACTCTTTTATGGCTTAATTTATTCCCAATCATTTATGACTCTGTTGTCAACCAAACTTCTTCAGATTTTGATTGTCTCTGTATGATTGAATATTTGAATTGAATTATATTATTTATTTGACACCACATTTAATTAAAAAAGAAAAGTGACTATTATCTGTTTTTCATTGTCTTTTTAGGAAAATGATGAAGTACTGATTGCCGGTTTCGGACGTAAGGGTCACGCTGTTGGTGATATCCCAGGAGTCCGTTTCAAGGTCGTCAAGGTTGCCAATGTCTCCTTGTTGGCTCTTTACAAAGAGAAGAAAGAAAGACCAAGATCTTAAAGAGACTGTAGAAAATAAAGTGAAGCAAAAAAATGAACTTTGTGTATAAAACAAACATATTTGAAAATCAATAAATGATGTCAAATAATCAGAAAGCTTTTTTTTGTTGTTGTACACCTTTAACAATATATGGGGTTGATCATATCAAAACCTGGACAGTTACAAAAAGTTTTTTTTTTTTTTTTTTTTTTTAAGAAACTAGATTGCACAGACTACTCTTTCAATATAATTTTGGAAATAAAATGGAGAAAAAATGTTAGAAATATTTTTCTGCCTCGTAACATTATTGCATAATTATTAGGTACATTAAAATTGTTTTCTCCACTAAGTTTTATTATTTTCATTGTCAATGGATGCAAAAAAAGGTACATTCTATTTCCTAAATGTAAGGATTTAATCTTGAATAAATTTCTTTTAGAGTTCAGTTTCATACACATGTAAAAATACTTCGCCTTGAAAATGAGTTCATATTGACAATTTTTTGCTGAATTAATATACCTTTTAAATCAAATCCCCCTGCTATTTACCCATCTACAATTTTCAAAATTGTTTTTTAATTTTTTATCTAGAGCATTTTTTGTTTTTTTAAGGGGTGGACCCTTTTGGGCAATACAATCATTAGTATAGTGGTATTAGTATAGAAACTTGCACGTAATAAGAAATGCCTTCGAAAAATGCAGAAATGATGGGAAATGTAGGGGATCAAATGTTTTTTATTAGCATGGATTTTACAATGCGAGTCTGTTCAAATTGTGTTAGTTGTGACTACAACCTCCACAATGTGATAATTGCATTGAAGCCAAGGTGAAGGTCGCTAAGGATGAATCATGGCTGAAACCAGTTGATGATTTCCTGACGAATAAATGGACCTGTTGGTGTACATTTAAGGTAAGAAATGTGCCGCTAATGCATTTATTTAAGAGAATTGAATTACACATAAAGCTTAGACTGGTTTTTTAATTGAAAAAAGTACTGTAAGTAGATTTCTTGTTGCTAATAACTTGCAAAGAAATTGAAACAGGAAGACTCTGTAGAAGATGTGATAGTTGATATAATCTTGCACAGGTTCTTATTGATTTGACCGAGGTTTTTCGAGTGTGACGAAATCGGTCCATTTACTTATACCCTTTAATTGTGGCCATTTATTGACTTCTTGGTGCTTTATATATAAACTATAGGAACAAAACGTGGTTCTTTAACACGGATATCTTGTTACTAAAGTAAACATCGAGATGTTCAAATATAAATAGTCTCAGGCTCGCTTCCTTAAATTGTTTGTCTCGCTTTCTTTTCAGTATAAAGAAAGTAAATAAACAAAATGGACAGTGATGAATAAAGATAAAGAATGTATAGGCCCTATACCGGCACTGTTTATTGGACAGTTATAAGTCTTGTTGAATAATATGCTGTTGAGTATTTTAAACACACTTACTAGGCTAAAAGTACAATCATCAAGCCTGTTGCCAGCAATTTTTATAATAATGAAGGGTACGATAGGAAATACTAAGACTACTTTTGGTGCTTTGCTTAATGCTTTTAATTGAAATATATATGCCTAATCACAAATCATGACTCTTAAAAATGTATACCCATTGCTGAAGAAAACACAGATAGTGATGGCCTTACAGAAATAATATAGAGCAAAGAAAAAGTTATATGTTTATATAAACAATATTAGCCCTGCTTGCTTTCTAAACATTTCACTGTGTTCATTTTCCAGATACTGTATAATTAACAAATACAGATTTGAGTCTGAGAGAGATTCTGAAAGAGCACCAAAGGGTGTTTTAAATTAAGTACAGATGGCTGCCACATTCAAGCACTAAGGCTTCGTTCACATGCAATGTCTATTTTCTAAATTCTATTTTCTATTTGTGGCATGTCTTATGATCACGGTCTGTGCACTGAATATCCCGCCGCGTAATTACTGGCAGCGCGAGCCAGTTACTATAAGTTACTATAAGTAACTGGCTCGCGCTGCCAGTAATTACGCGGCGGGATATTCAGTGCACAGACCGTGATCATAAGATAGCGCGAATAGAAAATAGAATTTAGAAAATAGACATTGCATGTGAACGAAGCCTAAGTCAACATAATGTTAACAAAGCAGACAGTTTGTTTATCAAGAAATTTATCAGTTTCTCATCCATGTGGAGCATGTATATGATATGTATATTAAAGGGCCTGTGGCATTTAGGTTTTGATTTGCCGTGATCCAAACTAAAATGATATGGAGTATTGCAAGCATTTTAGTGGAAAGTCACTTCCTTATTTTTTAGTGTCATTTTATTTATTTATTTTAAGATATGTAGTTTGGTGCAATATCAGTATGATTTTACTTACAAGATGATATTGCTAATTTATTATCTGATTATCAAAGTTATGTAGGGCTAATTTTAAAGTGGTAATAGATTTAGATTTTTTTTAATTGATTGATTGAGAGAAACATTAGATTAGAAATTGACAGAAATTGATGAAGTTTGATGATGGACTCTAATTCATGCCTGACCTAAAATAATTTTTTAATAACCATGACATGTAAACATTAAAAGGTTGGTTATATCAAATAATTTAAAAACCTTTTACGTGTATGCGTACTTTTTCAAATTTTTTATAGAGAGACAGCTTTGCAATAATATTTGTGTAGAGGACCAGTGTTAATATTTGAGTCTTCTAAATATTTGTATACTTAGTTAACTTCCACTGATCTAATTTATTTTTTCTCAGCTCTGAAAAAAAATTGTCAAAATATCAAGTGATATATTTATTTATTATTTTTTATTTATTTATTTATTTATTTATTTATTTGTATCTGAATGTTATTTTTGGATTTTTTCAATTCCTTTTTAGATGTAGAAGACCAGAAATATTGCGAGTGTCTAGCAAAGGTACCAAGCAGACTTGCCAACAATGGAGAGCGCTATTTACCTCCCATTGTTGCTGTGCTTCTTTGTTTTCCTATGCAAAGCTGGTAAGTATGTCACCATATGTTAAGAAAATAAAATTATATATTATTGAATATTAAATCTGTTATCTATCTAGAATTAATTTTTTATATGTTATTATTAACAGCCATTGTAATAAATTAAATATGAAAATGATTTACAGCTATTATGATATTTCACCAATATCTTAAGACAGTATCCCATCTTTTCTTTTTCTAGAAAACAAAGTCATTAAAAGTCGCAGAGGAAGTGTAGTAACTTTACCATGTGATCATGGCGGCATCAACAGGGCCAACATTGATCAAGTCCTATGGTTCAAAGGGACTCAGTCTCTTCTTTCCTGGTCAAATATAGGTGTCACTAGCACTGCTGGCACTGACCCGAAAGCCCAAGAAAGGATTACCATCATCGAGGCAGATTTCTCGCTGAGATTAAATTCTGTGGTGATGGAGGACAGTGGACAGTACAAGTGCTACGTGGAGTATACTAGTGGCAATGATACACTGATGGCGAACTCGACACTACTGCTCACTATACAAGGTGGTTTGACAGATTAAACACAATTTTGTTTTGCCAAGGTTTTACTTGTATATTTAGTTCAAGAAGTACAGAACACTTTATCATTCTGTAACAGTTGGTGGTGATATCTTTTTTTATTTTTCAAAAAAAAAAAATGGCAGCAATACAGTCATTCTGCACTAGTTTTGACATCCAGCAAAAAGAACAAAAAATGAAAACTTTTTGTGTAACTCAAAAATTTGCTTATCCGGTTGCCAAAAGTTAAAATTTAAATCCAGGAAAAAATAAATATTGGTTGTGTGAAAAGGTGAAGTTCTTTTGCACTTTCTTTTATACAGATGTGCCAAGCCCACCAGGGAAACCAATAATATCGAACATCCAGTCCAGGTCCTTTCATGTGACATTCACAGCCAGTGCACTAAGTAACAACAGCCCAATTAAATATTACAATGTCCATGTCATACAGAGGTAGGTGAAGAGAGAATATCTGGGGCCCCTTGTTACAAAACAAAATAAGTCAAAAATATTTCTTGGCAAAGACTTAGGATTTGAATTTTAGTCGACTACTAATATGTTAACTGAGAAATTTAGTGGCTGCTTCCTCTTTTTCTTTTTTTTTTTAAGTCTTAGCCCTTAGAGTTTATCTTGATATAATTTTTATTTGTAGTACTTTTACTCTCAAGTACACCCGCCCATTTAGTTTTTTCAACTACATTTCATCGAAAATAGTAATTTGTAATTTAAAAGCGCCTGAAGAGCTATGTTGCAGAGTCCACTTTTCACTCTTTTGTAAGCAATCCAATTTTTTTCAGACAAAGTCAAAAATTCTATGTGAGTTTATATTGACAATTGTCTTCATAAGTGTAAAATATTTTTACATTTTTTCCATAATTTTTCATTTCAGGGGCGGAAATTGGGAAAACGCCATCTCCTTCCAGGTGCATGCCACCTCCAACCTGTCAAATATTTTGATATCGTCTGCTGGTATCATCAGACCGTACAGAAATTACGTGGTCCGCGTTTCCGCCATCAATGAAATAGGGAACAGCAGCGCCAGTGAGGAGACTGAAGTTCAGACGGCTGAGGACGGTAGGTGGTTGAAGATGCTTTTAACCCCTGGTTTTTGTGTTTGAACTCAGATGTCCGACTTTTTTAGGAGTTTTGTCCTATTAGTGATTTGAAGTTTTAATTTTAACTGATTATTTTATTTTTTTAGTAGTTTATATTATTTATATTTTAAACATTGTGTTTTTAACTATCTTACTTATTTTAAGAACTTGCGACAGACATTTATTTCTTATATATATTTATTTTATATAAGCTGGATATATTATTCTTGTTATAAGACGAAGATCTCCTGCAGTAAGATTAAAACATTTGAAGAGTGGTGATTTTAGGAAGATTTTTAGTGAAAGAAAACTTGAGATATAAAGTTTAATATTTTAATTTGTCATCCAAATGTACTTGAAATGTTCTTAATCTTCTTCAAAACAGAAATATCATACTTGAAGTTAGTATATTTTTTACAAGAAATAGTTTCTTTCAAGGTAATAGTAAAGTTAACATGAGTGAAAGAAAATTCAGAAAATTTGATAACTTATTTTTAAATGTTTATTATAATTATTTTTATTATTTTATTGACAAATAGTTCACAAATTTAAAGTGAAGCCTTACACTGTTTATGCAGGTCACAGAGTGATTTCATATGATGGCACATTGCCCTATGCACACAATTATTACTAACAATTTAGCTGTGTAAAGCATGATGGGTTAATTTCACATCTGTTAGAAAGGTACAAGTCCTACGCAAAAGTTACCAAGACTGATGTGAAGTTTACTCCACATGCTTTAATATATATTACTTTTCAAAAAAGTGATCGATATAATATAACTAATATTATCATTATGAAAATCAGGTTCCTCAATCCCTATTGACATTTTTATTTTATTGTTAAATTCACTTTTTCATTGCATCGGAATATTTCTTACTAATTATGTGTATTTCTTACAGGCACTAAAAACTGCACAGCATGTACTATTACAGTAGGAGACTTCAGAATTGACTGAAGATCCCTTAAATTCCTTTTGATTTTAACATGTGAAACATTTTCTTTTTTCCTGTAGAAAGCACTAATGGGTGTCTTAAATATACTTAATGATGCTTCAGTTATTGATGGTATTAAATGACCAAGGGAGAAAGTCATATTGAGGAATTGAATCTTTTTATGATTAGTTTATGAATTGATAGAATTGGGGGGAAAAAAGGTCTCATTTTGGGATACTCAGGTACTTAGAGAATGAAGAAAAGGTATACATGTATGCAATGTAAACAGTATGTAATAGCATTTTATGAATGGTAAGTCATTCAGGGATTTTTCAGATCTTTTTGTATTGATTTTGACCTGAATGGTAATTTAATATACCCATAGATATCTTTCTTACATTTCTACTAAATTGATAATTCCTCTTAATAACACATAAAAGCCGATTGTTTTTCTTTCTCCCTTTTTTAAAGTCATTTGCATGCTGGAAATTTGCACTCAGTGCAGTGTGAAGTTTTGTCACAATGCATTTCTCTTTGACTGCCACCTAATAAATGTTAACGAAGCCAAGACTAATCACTTCCTATTTGCCTAATACCTTCTCTGTTCTTTATGCTTACATCTCAGTCACAGTAAAAAAACTATCTCCAGAAAATGTTATGGCAATTATATATTTATATAAGGAATTACCACATTTATCTATCTGTTTGGAAGAACACTGCTGGTATTGAATGCCCAAGAACCAACTGTGAGCATAGCGCCATCTATTGAACATTTTGCACTTTAACTTTTTTTTCTCACACATTTGGCACCAGACTAGTATACTAAGGCATGTAAGTATAAACATGATTGTTTCTGCCCGTGTGAACTTACACAGCTTGGGGGAAAAAACTCTACCCATCTTCACGTCACTGCTACAGTTGTATTTATACCTCCTCTTCAGAGCCGCTCGCTAAGCCCACCATCCTTGAAATACGTAACCTGACGAATTCGTCAGTCCAGCTTCACTGGCAGGATCCGTCACCCGACACCCTGAACGGGGAACTCCTGGGGTATAAGATAGTGTATAAGCGCCACCCAGAGGGGAACCTGCACCCAATTACGGTGCCTAACCCAGATGAAAAGGTGTGTTTGTGTTTGCGAGTGCATGTGTGTGTGTATGGGTGTGTGCTCCTAACCAAGCACATGCTGCGGTTTTTGCTTGCTGTGCCTTGAAAACTTACTTTGTTATTTTACTTTTTATCTTGGTGGTTGGATTTTAACTAATGTCTTGTGTTTCTTTTGGATGCGTGAAGCACATGGGTGTTTAAGGATAGGGATGGTGTCTGTGTGTCATACCATGCACTTTTTTTTGGGGGGGAGGGGGATGTATGTCAACATTTACTTTTATCCCATCCCAGACAACTGACAAACACAGATATTGCTTTTGTTTGCACTAAAGATCCGTAGTCTTATGAAGAAATAGAATTATGTCATAATTGTTGAATCTGAGTCTTTAGTTTCATTTATATGTCTTTCTAAATGCCTATTGCAATTTGGGTTTGTAAGTCACAAGTGAGATGGTGTATTTTTTGAAAGTTCAAAAGTTAAAATTCATATTTTCTTTCCAATATGTCTCTGTTTATATATTTATTTATGCACTGAAAATGCTATTGCAACCTATGTGATATTTTTGATTCCATTTTCAAGCAGCTAAGTAAACGCAATTGATGAGGCTTTTTCCTGTGACAAAACATTATTATATTCAACCTTGCTTGCCATGTTACAGGCACACAGAACATGTCACCCATTTGTCCGGGGACTCTAAATAGTTCTTAACAAGGCTTAGAATACTGATCAGTTTATGAATATGAAAATGCTTAATTTGAATTATAAAATTGCCTCTAATAATTACCAGCCCAGTTGTTATTTTTAATTGTTGCACATTATTATTGATCGACTTCATAGATTTATGTTTTGATTTTTTGTAACCAGTTTTCTTCCTCAACAAAATTTGATAATTGAATTGATTGGATAGCCTCATGCAAAGATTTACTCACCAGTTTTTTTTTTTTCTTTACTTATTTGTTTGATTGACTGATTGATTGTTTGTTTGTTTGTTGGTTTGACTTTAGCCAAATTAATCCTTTTGCAAAAAGAGTCTAGTTGATGTTGTGTTTGTGTGTATGTTCATTTATTTTGGAGGGGGTGGGGTGCAATTGTGGAATAACCTGAATGCTAAGAAATCATTTCTAATACCTCTTCTCAAGAGTTTCTCTCCTGAAGTGTCTGATTTGCACGTGATCTTGTTCTGAAATCAGATTATCGGCTAATGTTCTGCTTTCAAAATTCAGAGGCTTGCTATGATAGTTAGATTCTACTAACATTGATATAAAATAGTAACTTGAAGTTCTTTTTAAGTAGGGAAAGCTAATAAGTAGCTAGTAAGATATATATATGTAAATGACTCTCAGTTGATGAGATTAAGTATTGATATTTTGAGGAATACTAGAAATTAAGCCTTTGCTTTAATAACCATAATTCTTGTAAGTAGATATTTATAAATATGGATTTAAAATTTCAGTTGTAATATTGTAACAGCAGCAGTATAAATTTACTGGTTTAAAGAAGTTTTCTAAAGCAATGCTGAGCACCAAAAGAAAGAAAAAAAAAAA